CCTCTACCCCAGCCCGACACTCGCGTCCTATGTTCCGACATCTTGCCGAATCCACCCCCCTTTCATCCCTTTCTGTGCTTGGCCGCAGACGGCTGCGTTCCTCCTCGCCACCCCCATCTCCTCCACGGTCTCGTTTGAGAACCGATTCTCCGGTTTCTATTCTTCCCATTGTTCCGCCTTCATTGCCAGTGACATCTTCTGTTAGAAACATCGCCACTCCTCTTATTGTGTATCATCGTCGACGACATGCACAACATCGCCACTTGGCCAGGGATCAGCGGCCTGCTTCTGTGTCTACCCCAATTCTCTTTGTGCCTCCTCCACGGGTTGTTGCGGTTCAGTTGTCCCAAACGGATACATCCGCTCCTATGCCTCCTGCAGACAGTCCAGCTGCTTGCACACAGCCACAGCACCATGTTTTATGCCCTTCCATGTTCGTTTGTCCCCCAGCTGTGCAACAGGATATGGTCCCTGCCCAGAGTACACTCCCAACGACAGTCCCTACTCACGATGTGGCCCCGAACGAGGAGGGTCTGGGACATGATCAGCTCGGACTGCATTTAACCCCGCAAGCCATAGACCACACGGGAGATTTGCAAATGGCTGACGAGGATCATATGGATGAACCGCTTACTTGTGCCCCACCCTGTGTGGCCCCGAACGCTGAGGGACTGGAACATGATCTGCTTGGACTGCATTTAATCCCGCATGGCGTAGACCCCACGAGGGATTTGCGAGAAAGTCACAATCAAATTCATGAACTGCAAGGACAACACAGACGAAGAGGTGACCGCCTGGTCTTACCCAAAAGACAAAATCGCAGACACGAACGCGACCTACGAGAAGCACGCACTCATCTTCTCCTTCTCCAATGCTGGAGCGAGACTGTCCCCAATCGAGAAAAGGAAATGAATGGTAAAAACCATCCAGCAACTTGAAAACATCAAAATGAATGTGGACAAATTCGCCATGCTCGGCCTGGGTAGAACCTCGATGATCGTTGTTTTCAAAGATGCTGAGCAGGCAACACACCTATTGGAAAAATGTGAGACCCTGAACTGCCAGGGATCTGTCTGCACACTATCAAGGTGGAAGGCGGAGACGGCCCAACGAGCGGAAGTCTCGCCGGCCGCCTCCTACAAGAACAGACTGTTGAGGGAACAATTCTGGGTCCAATTCGACAACATCCCACCCAGAGGCCACCCTCTCATTAAGGACCGAGTAGAGAATGAATACCCGGCAAACAAAGTAGTGAAGTGGGTCCTTCCCACCCCCGACTTCCTCCACCCCCACATCGATTCCGTCACAGCAATCTTGGAAGTCCCGACCGACGACCCCCCAGCCTTCCCCGAGGTCTGGCAATTTGTCATCGACGGCAGAGTTACTGAAGTGGACGCCTCCACCAAGACCTCGCCAATCTGTTTCAGATGCAAACAAAGAGGGCATCTGGGTACAGATCCCAAATGCCCCCGCTCCCCTGATCAGAAGAAGCTCGGACAAAATATGCTGCTGGAAGTAGAAGAAGCGAAAGGAATCTGGTTTGTGAACGACCCAGACTACGATGGCTGGGTCTTCGACGACAACATCCCTGAACCAAAGTGGATATGGACGTACGCGGACAAAACAGCAACAGTCAAACAACCAGACATCTTCCCCCCCTCCGACAGCAAATGGCACCGCGTGGGAGCAAAAAAAATCACGGGGATCCCAGGAAAAATCCATGCCGACCCGGTGATTGACTCCCGTGCTGCCAAGGAAGAGAAAAAGCACGAAGATCTGATGTGGATACTTGACTCAATCAGAGAGCAAACCGCAGACTCTCTAGCCAAACCGGAAGAGGAGGAAAGAATCCTAGCTGAAGCAAAAGGAATCATGGAGGGACGGCAGGAACAGACTAAACCCCCCCACAAGAGACAACAAAGACTTCCCCCCAGAAAGACCCCGACGCAAGACCAAGCGGAAAGAAATCCAGAAAATGCGGCGCGCCAGACGAAGCAAATCCATCCCCGGACCAAAGTGACACACAGGCAGTGACGGGAGGGACAGAGCAGGCAAGCATGGATATATCCCCCACCAAAACCGACATACCTCCCAAATCAAAAGAACAGGAGGACCCCCCCTTGGCCTGGCTGCAAGACTACCTAGAAAGGGCCAAAAATGAGAGGGAAAAACAATTCGACATCAGGGTAGCGTGCTTGAAGCATCAAGAAAAGACAAGACGCAACAGCAACACGGCGGTGGCTGGAATCAGCACAACTCCTACACCATCCTGAGACAGCACAGCAAGATGTCCAAGTTCAGTGCCTTCCGATACAATGAAAAGAAGAGGGATCGGGTTCCGAAGCAGAAGACAATGTAGAGGATCTGACCCACAAAGACCCCATAAGAGACATGGTACCGAAGAAGTGGAAGCCATCGAAGGGCAGGGACAAAAGATCCAGGAGACCCCTGTCAGACAAGGCGGGGATTCCCAACGAACAGCGGGCCATCAAACACGAGATTGCGATCATAACCACCCAGACAAAATGTCTGTTTGACCAGAACGCAGAATACCGCAAAAACCACAAAAAGGATTTCTGCACAATCCAGAATGTGGCAGATAACAAGGCACCTCACGTCACCGAAAAAGCCACCTTGGATCGGAAAACCATAAGGACAGTCAGGCCCCTCGTTCCAGTCCGCTATAGAAAGAGACTCAGCGAATGGCAGGTGGCCACGGATGTTTCTTTCGCCATCCCGACTTTGGGAGACATGCGAACGCTGGCAAGAACCGTCAGAGAAGAGATCTCTGAGGTTTATCCCCTGGGATTCTTCGGCATCCCCGGCACAGCCAATCCAACAGAAGGACAGACTGAACCTGAACAGACACCAGACTCCACCGAGGCTTTTGAGCCAATACTCATCAAAATGGATGAAAAGGCGAAGCTCCGCGAGGGTCTGGTATGGAGAGCTTGGAACACAGTCACTGCATTGCCATACAGCACCCTTGCAAGCAAGAGGTGCCCGACAAAGGTAATGGCTGAATCCCTGGCCTCCATCATCAGATCGCGCATCCTTGCCACGGACAGATCCCTGCAGGAAAAAGCGGAATCGATATACGTAGAGCCCGAAGACGAAGATGAGGGACTCATGGACAGCAATGACGACGACGTGGCCATCCTGTATGGCAAACCCCTCTTAAATGGCGACGATCACGGATCCACCCCAGTGCCGGAAGGCAGCACGGGGGGATACAGCACGATGTCCGGATTTGTGAAGAGCATTAGCGACGACAGGGAAGGATCTGGGGTAGAGAGCAAGGAGACAGAGGCGGCAGTGGATTAGAAAAAAAATAAAAAAATCAGACCAGAAGACAACAGTACATAGCTCAGTGACCAGAAGAACAGAACCAGATGGACTGTAACGGCGTGCCTTCTGAAACTGTAAGAGTAGACTGGCAAGCCAAAGGACTGATGATCCACAGTCGGAACATCAACGGCCTGGGAAACATCCTCACTGAGGACGACAAACTCAGGGACATCAGACTCGGCCTAACAGACAAGAGAAAGCCCAGACCCGATGTTATCTTACTACAAGAAACCCACCTATCCAATCTCGCACACCACATGAGAATCAAACGGACAGTGGAAAAAAGCTTGGGTGGCTGTCCATTCAAACTGTGGTCCAACAGAGAGGACCAAAGCAACCGAGGCACAGCGATCCTTATACCGGCCACATCCAAGATCTGGTCGGAAGGACAGGTAATCCGTAGCGAAGGCGACACAGACGAAGGACGATGGTCATGGATCCAAATCACTTGGCAAAGGGAAGAACTCAGGATCCTGAACCTGTATGCCCCGAATGCAGAAAATGAACGCCTAGTGTTCTTCGAGCGCATCAAATCACTCCTCCCGAACCCCCTACCGATGATCATAGCAGGTGATTGGAACACGACACTCGACCCCAACCTAGACCGCATATCCCGATCAGTCCTGCTGGGCCCCACACGAGCGAGCACACACATCCGGAATATCATGACAGAATTCGATCTGATCGACCCCTTTCGAACCCTCCACCCTCGAAAGAAAGCCTTCTCCCTAGTCAAAAGGAACCGATCCAACCACACGTTACTATCACGGATTGACTTCTTCCTAATCTCCGACACGCTGCAGGGAACAATCAAGGAGGCCGATATCCTTCAGGCAGCAGCCTTAAAGGTACTCGACCACAAACCGACATACCTGCTGCTAAATTTCAACGCCCCGGTCGAGAAAGGTCAGGGTCTCTTCAGAATGAATAACTCCCTCCTCTCCACAGACCGCATGACCGAGGCAGTCAGATGGAATTGGGTGTTCTTACAGCAAGACGAGGCGAAACGCTCGAACAGACACAAGTGGTTTATAGACAGCTATATAGATCTATCCCAAACGGTGTCAGCAGAGTCCAGAACCATAGCAGCAGAACGCAGATTAAGGAAGGATGAATTGCAGATCGCTCTCGAAATTGCAGAGGCCAACCTCGTAACCAACCCTTCTGACCCCTTCTATCACAACCTACTCCAATCGACCAAAGATGAATTGAATGAGTGGAGAAGATGGGAACTCAGAGGCCTACAAATTCGCGCCCGAATGACCGACTACAACCTCAACGAATCCATGTCTAAAGTATTCTTCTCCAAAATCAAGGCCAATGCCAGGAACAACATGATAGAGAGCCTGAAGGACCCAACAGATCAGGGGAAGACAAAATCAACTGGCACAGACATGGTAAGGATCGCGAGATCATTTTATGCTGATCTCTACGAGGCCAAGACCCCATCCCCCCCCCCAACAACAAATATCAACGCCCGCCAGCACATGTTGATTCACCTAGATAGAACGATCATACAGGAAAATACAGAGGATCTGGACAAACCAATCACCCTAGAAGAACTCCACACAGCCCTGTCCCAGATGGGCAGCGACAAGGCACCAGGTATCGATGGGCTGTCCAAAGAATTCTGGTCCCAATTTTGGCCGATACTGGGCAACGACCTCCTGAATTTCATAAACGACAGCAGGGAGAAGGGAGGCCTGGGCCAGTTCCTGAGCACCAGCGTAGTATCTCTGATATACAAGAAGGGAGACAAGGAAGATCTAAAGAACTACAGGCCAATCTCACTCCTCACAACCCCTTACAAGATCCTCGCTAAGGCACTAGCCAACAAAATCATAAAACTAACGGACAAATGCTTCCATATCGACCAAGCAGGCTTCATCCCAGGTCGATATATTCTTGATAATGTGGTGACCCTGAACGAGGCTGCAAAGAAGATTACAGAAAAAAGGTTGCAGGCGGCGATCCTATTCTTCGACTTTGAAAAGGCCTACGATCAAGTCAACTGGGACTTCCTCCACGAGTGCATGGAGAAGATAGGAGTCGGCCCAAATTTCAGAGAGTGGGTAAGAGTACTATATGGTGACGCCACAGGCAGAGTGCAGATAAACAGAATACTATCAGACACCTACCCAATATCGAGATCGGTCCGACAAGGCGACCCCCTCGCACCACCGATTTTCCTATTCATAATGGAAGCGATTGCCTCCTTTCTACGCAAGGACCCATCCATAGACCGCCTAGCCGAACAAAACTACAACCCCCTGCACGACTTCACTCTCCCCACAGTACTGATGTTTGCAGACGACCTCACGGTCCTCATCCGCGTCAACAAGGCCTCCTTTCAAGCCCTAGCCCGCGCTATGGAAGCCTTCAGACTGGCCTCAGAAATGAAGGTGAACTGGGAGAAAACCGAAGGATGGTGGCTTGCAGAAGGCACCCCCCCCCAACCCCCAGACTCCTCCACCCCAATGACATGGTCCACAGGAGACCAAACTCTTCGGTACCTGGGTATTATGGTAAACAGAGATGGCATCTGGCAAGGGATGGGGGAGACCTTGATTGCCAAAGCGATAACTCATCTAGCCCCATGTAGGAAAGCCCAGGCCTCCCTGCTAGGGAGAGCGCTGATCATCAATGCGGCCGTGTTCTCAACCCTGTGGTACATGGCCTCCATATGGTCCCCGCCCGATGACGATCTGAAAAATCTGAAAGCGAGAGCCAGATGCTACTTGTGGACCGGAGACCCCAGCAGAACCACATGCATAAATAAAGTAGCATGGCAAGTCGTCATCAGGAAACCACATGAAGGAGGACTAGGCATCATCGATCCGAAACAGGAAGCGATCGCCCTCCAGATGAAATGGGTTATCAAAATCCTAACAAAGCAGACCCTCCCGTGAACCAAGATGGCGCTCGACAGCATAAGGAACCTGGCACCGGTAGCTTCCCCGCAGAACATGAGGGGCTTATTCTGGATCATGGCAAAGGAATAGGCAATCAAATCAGGGAGGTCAACAAGGAGAACTCACCCCACAACACCCTGTCGTCCCTACACCACAACCAACCCCTACTGGTCACCAATCCTGAAAGCCTGGCGCCGACTGATACCAGAAAAGAAAGGCGCTCCGCGCAACAAAGAGGAAGTCCTAAGACAGCCCCTTTTCTGCAATCCTTGGATAAAAGACACAGAGGGGGRACCCTGGACCCTCCGCCCCAAAGACCGCAGATGGCTCTCATGGGTAGAACGAGGGGTATGGCAGATCAAACATCTGTGGTCCGAAGACCGACAAGAGTGGTTCAACGAACAGAACCTGCGCACCACCCTAAAGGGTTGTCACTCGCTGCCCAGCAACCTATCGGAAATTCTCCACAGCATCCCCCCCTCATGGACGACCCTCCTAAAAGAGACACACACGTGGAAACCAGGCGACTGGGGATTACTCACCACACAGTTCCCGCCAACAAGAGCCTACCGGTTCATGTCTAAACCGCTCCTAACTAACTACCAGGCCAACTTCATTTCCTACCCAATTGCCAAACACAACCTATACGAACTAGAGGCCCTAAACAAAGCGCCACAACATGAACAAATTGAAACCTTCCTGCTAAGGAAGGTAAGAGTCTCTCACAGGATACCCTGGCTCATATTCCAGCCGGAACTGAGCATCGAGAACCTAGAATTCGACCCAAAGGAGTGGGAATGGGACCTGGACACCAACGGGAAACCAAGGGCGATAACGGAATACGACGTAAAGTTTGGCTATAACCTCGGTCTAAAAACCACTGACCCGAACCCAAGGCTGGCGGAGAGGTGGAGAACCATCCTCCACCTCGATCCTGCGACCCCTATCACCATCCCGTGGATAAGTACCTTAGCATCCGTCCAAACCGCATACGCAGCATGCAATGGTTGATAGCACATACAGCCCTTCCCGTCAACCAATGGCTACATACAAGAAGGAAGCATTCCGACCCAGAGAGCTCGGAACGCTGCTCAATGTGCAAGAACAACTCACCCGAGGACATCCCCCGCTGCCTCCTACACTTCCCAGAAGCTACATGGATCTGGAAGAAGATCCGGGAGCTATGGTCGACCCTGTTCTCAATGCCCGCTCCCAACATCCCTACCCTCTCCATCTTACTGCTATCTAACACTCCCAGCAACATCAAGGGAAGCAGGGAAGTCTGGTTCCACTTGCTCAGGAAATTGGGCCTGTGGGTAATATGGAAGCGAAGGTGCACCCGGACAATCGAGGGATCAGAGGTGGCAAAGGAAGAAATATGGTCTCTACGGCTGATCATGGCAGAGACGGAAATCAGGAGCAGATGGCAGAGAAGAGTGACCCCTATGCAACACAGACCAGAAAGACAAGCAACCAGGAAGCAGACATTCAAGAGAGAATGGCTCCTAAAGGGCAAGGTGGCAACGATAGCAGAGAACAGATTGCGGTGGAAGAAATGGCACCAGGCGACACCTTAATACCTATTGGGCCCCACCATGGGACCGGGCAGGAGGGGCTGAGCGTCGATCAACAACAGTACTCAAAGGGCACAGAGAGAAGGTCAAGGACAAACAACATAGCTGGTAGCAGACCCCTTCGCTGTTCTCATTATGCAAGGAATTATCTGGCAGGCACTGATTAGAAGCCTGAGAGGAACGAGCGACCTGGGCAAGCTGACAGTCAATCCTCCTTAGTAGGAGYAATCAATGCTGGTCAGGGTTCCTTCGGCCAGACGGAAGGAAGCGTGAGTGGGTAAATCTTATGTACTCTTTTGACTTGCCGGGGGAATAGGAACCGGACTGACGCTCCCCAGAATGGACATGGAGCCAGGACCAAAAGGGCCTGTTCAAAAAAAAAAAAAAAAAAAAAAAAAAAGAATGCTACAATACCTAGAAAGAACAATCTCATGGGAACGGGTTGAGGCTCGTGACAAACCTATCACGTTGGAGGAACTGCACTTTGCAGTCCAAAGTATGAACATGTCCCCAGGGATTGACAGCCTGAATAAAGAATTTGGGGAAAAGTTCTGGTTACTTTTAGGGGGTGACCTTCTGAACTTCTGTAATGCCAGTTGCGCGAAGGGGGGCTTAGGCATTTGTCGAGTAGTAGTGTGGCCACACTGCTATACAAGAAAGGGAAAAATGAAGATATTCGGAATTATAGGTCTATCGCTCCACTCACTCTCCCCCACAAAATATTGGCCAAATCATTGGCCTACCAAGTCGTGGACCTGACAGATAAATGTTTTCACATAGACCAAACGGGTTTCATCCCAGGTTGGTACATTCTTGACAATGTACTAACTCTCAACAAAGCAGCCAAAAAAGTCAGAGAAAAGAGGATTTAACATAGCAATCCCTTTCTTTGACTCTACGACCAGGTCGATTGGGCCTTTCTCAATGCAAGCATGGAAAAAATGGGGGTTGGCCCCAACTTTAGGAAATGGGTTTGAATCCTGTATAACGATGCAATGGGTTGTGTCCAGGTCAACGGCTTGCTTTCAAACTTCTATCCGATTTCACGCTCAGTCCGACAGGGGGACCCGCTAGCTCCTCCAATTTTTCTCTTTGTGATGGAGGCAATTGCCTCGTATCTGCGAAAAGACCCCTTGGTTCACAGACTTGGCATAAGAAATGAAGATAAATTGGAAGAAAACAGTTGGATGGTGGCTATCTGACGATGAAGTCCCCCAACTCCTCCAGGGCCCAGAGAGTGGCATGACGCGGGAGAAACCTGACACACCCACACACTATCTGGGAATCCTACTTGCTAAAGATGGCGTTGCACCTCAAAACATACTCTCACACCAAATTAACAAGATGGGTAGGTGGGGAACACTTTCACATCCCTGTTGGGACGAGCTTTTCCAACGAGCTTTGACTATCAACATGTCTGTTTTCTCAATGATGTGGTACATAGCTCCAATATGGAGTGCCTGACCATACAATTAAGGACCTTAATCGCAAAGCAAGAGCCTACCTGTGGTCGGGGGACACCAACAAACAGAACTAAAGATAGCGTGGCATCACATCACAAGGAATCCAGTCAGAGGAGGACTTGGCATTATCGATCCGAAGCAAGAAACAAAAGCCCTTCAAGTCAAGTGGATTGTTAAGCTCCTGACCAGACCAGGCCTGGCATGCAATAAACTGCCTTTGGACAGCATCAGGTGTCTAGCCCCGACAACCAACCACACCAGCAAACATGTCCGGTTTATTCTGGGTAATGAATAAGGAATGGACCCCCAACCCAACACAGGTCAGAGAAACCAACGAAGAGGAACTTCTCTAAATGAAGTTAGGCCTCCTACACCCTACTGGACTACACTGCTCTGAAATTGGTGGGAAATTATGCCGAAAAACTAGGCAGACCCAAGTCCAAAGAGGAAGTCCTAGACGACCACTCTTTCGGGATCCCTGGGTAAGAGACGGAAGTGATCACTCACTCTCTCTTAAGCCAAAAGGGAGGAGATGGGTATCATGTATCAGTCCTCCTGAGACAACCACTTTTTCAGGATCCCTGGGTAAGAGACGGAAGTGATCACCCACTCTCTCTTAAGCCAAAGGGGAGGAGATGGGTATCATGGATCAGTCACGGAGTATGGAAAGTGAGCAATATTTGGGACGAGGAGAAAAAGAACTAGCTTTTAGAACACGAGAACACGAGCTCACTCTATGCCTCAAGGGATGCCGTCGACGAGATGAAAACTTATGAAGTATCATCACATGTATCCCTGAAGGCTGGAAGTTGTTGAGAAAAGCCCCCCAATGGAAATCTGGGAAGTGGGGAGTGATGGTCCAGGAAAGAGCACCCAGAGGGGGCTTCCAATTCTCTCATAAGCACCAGGGATCAGACTCCCTGGCGGTGTTCACCTCCTTTCCAATTACCTCCACAACACATGGCTCCACCTCCATACTAAACAAAGATGTGGAACAAACAGTCGTCAATCCTTTCGAGCTCAGAAAAGTAAGAGTGATGGGAGTGTGGCCAAAAATAGTCTTTAAAATGGATACGGCAAATCAAGACTTGGAATTTGATCCGGCAGAATGGTACTGGACACCAGGCAGAAGTAAGAATATCATAATGGCCTAGAGGATCTGGTTTGGCATGATGGTACTGGACACCAGGGAAGAGTGGCTGCGTAAGTGGAGTGGAAGTGTGGTTGGGTACACCGGGTCGCGGGATCTCCGTCGTGGGATTCCGTGCTGGGGTGGGGTGAGGTATTCAGGTTTGAGTCCTGGGACTTCACTTTCACCCCAGCCCACTTAGCCTTATGGTTAGGTGTCTGCCTGCTAAGCCGTTGACAGTGTGTTCGAGTCTTGGATTCGTCACTCTAGGACTCCCTCTTCCCTGCCCCCTTTCCCGAGCATCCCATCCAACTCCTCCTTTGGACTAACATCCCAACCCACTTTCAGAAGACACAGAGGATCTGGTTTGGCATGATAAAAAAGGTGACATCTGATGTGGAAGGAAAGGTGCCGCAGAACTCTTGAAGGCCTCTCCTCTTCTAGAGAAAGTCTGGGTGGAGACAGGGTCGATGATTCAAGCGGAGATTCTGTGCCAGTGGCAGCAAATAAAGCAGTCGTTGCTGGACGGTGTGCACCTGCAGCAGAAATTCCAAGCGAAGATTACAAGGACCTGGCTTGTAGGAGGAGATAAGGGCCTCCAATGTACGCTGGAAAGACTGTCACAATTCACAAGCGGGATCTAGAAGGCAGAGATCCCACTTGGCAGAATGGCAGGACCCAATACAGGCGACATAACCCTCATGGCATGTCAGAGTGATGGAGACCGCTCAAGAAGCAGTCAACATCCCCCCAGTTTAGAGTCCAATCGGAGTTCCCAAATGATTTCAGGGATTTCACTTCCTCATCTCTTATCCCTTTGCTGGCTTATGTTAAATCTGGCAGGTTTGGGGTAAACAAACTTGAGAGGAAAGGAAGAGGGAGGGAAAGCTGGCAGTCAATCCTCCAGATTTCTGGAGCAATCGATGCTGGTCAGGGGTCCTCCGGCCAAACGGAAGGAAGCGTGACGGTGTTCTTGTTCTACATCTGACTTGCCGGTGGAATAGGAACCGGACTGATGCTCCCCAGAATGGATATGGAGGCAGAGCCATAAGGACCTGTTTTATCGAAAAAAAAAAGAAAAGAAGGTTCTGAGTCAGACGCCACACAGTGTTTCTGAAGTCATAGAGCAGCAAAACATGAAGCAAGATTGACAGCCAAATGTTCTCTCATCCTTCTCTGACACAGTTGTTGCACCATGTACGTTGGCGAAGTTTGGGCATCTGTTGAGTTTGGAGTCACACAGAAGATAAGTCTTGTCCCTGCGCCAAGAAAGTTTTGTCCTTGGGTGCATGGGAGCCTAAACTCCACTGTTTTGCTGCTCTATGACTTCAGAAACATTGTGGGATGACTTTCCAGCCCATCTATCACCTGAGGGCTGGATAACATCTCCACCACGCTGCTGCATTTTGGCAGGAAAATGATGACTTTCCAGCCCAGTCTGGTAATTCACCTAGTACCGTGGTCCTACCTCTAAGCAGCCCGGATACATCGAGTATTGAGAAAAGAAGACTGTGGAGGCCAACCAGTTGCAGTCGTATGCACCAGCCTGAAAATCCCTGACAGTCCCTTACAGACTTACTCCTATGTTGTCGTGCCATCCAATTGGCGAGTTTGTCCATCGTGAGCTTTACTTTCCAATCTACTGGACCAAATTTCAGTCTGGAACCCCGAGGCTCCTGACTTTTGTGGGAGTGAGGCCCGTCGAGACTCAGATACAGGCACATGAGTTTAGTATTCTTATTGATCAGGACTCCAGAATGCTTTGCAAAAAATTGTCAACAAGGGCAAATACAGAGAACTTCAAAAGACAGTTTTAGCATCAAGGTGCAGAATTTACAGTATTTCTTATGCAGAGCACACCAAGAGAGTCTCAGGGTTGTCAGATTGAAGTCTGAAATTCTCTGAATGTCATTTCATAGCTGAAAACAACAGACCAATGATAGAAAGGCCGGCATCATAGGTGAGCGAGGGAATTCCGGGCTCCACTGCGGGGAGTTGCATTGTAATTGGCCATTCTCTTGTTCACAACTTGCTAGTCAAAAAAAGAACGGAAATAACAACCTCATATCAGAAGTGAAAAAAGAAACCTGATCATCGGGTGGTGGTGTTGATGACTACTTTGTTGTGCAGCAACCCCAATACTTGGACTTGGAATTGGCTTCAAGGTGAAGGGAGGTGAGGTGGCTGTGGCATACCTTAGGGAGACGTTGACAAAACTTAGCAGGTACATAACTATCCATCCAAGCTTGCCGTACCTCTTTGTCTATGGTACTTTTAGGGCCGGTGCAGCTGGGCTACCAACCGGCTCGCCTGGGTCACCTTTAAGTCACATTGGCTGGGTATTCAATTATAATCTAGCTTTCCAACCCAGGCGCCCGGGGCACCCCATGGCGCCCGGAATGGCGCCCGGGTCACCCGGCCGTGCAACCCCCCCGAGCAGGCACCCGGTCCCCTCTCGCGCCGAGGCTGATAAAGCCTGAAAAAAAAAAATTGCGCTGCCACCAGATGCCCTACCACTGAAAAAAAAATTAGGAGGCCGCTCAGGCCGGGGCAATTTTTTTTGGGGTCCAGTAGGCCCGGTTTTGCAGTTTTTTTTTTTTTTTTTCTCAAATCTGGCCATCGATCTGTGCCGATCGACAGTGCGCACAGATCCAGGATTTGAATTCGAATCCTGGCCGACTCCAGCACCCACGCGACTCCACGCCAGTACCCCTCCGACCGCAGCCCTGTGCAAGTTCGTCACAACGGCCCTCCGCGCGCTCGACGTCCCCGTAGCCGCTTCATCACTGAAGCCGCCTGCTTCTTCCCCGCGCGCCATTGTCAATGCCCCACGCGCTAACTATTGCTGCTCCCTCTTCACCAAGGTTACCCCCGCGCTATCCCAGATAAGGTTCGAGAACTTCAAGGTAAGTTCTGTTCTTCTTCTTCTTCTTCTTCTTTTCTTCTTCTTCTTCTTCTTCTTCTTCTTCTTCTTCTTCTTCTTCTTCTTCTTCTTCTTCTTCTTCGTCTTCTTCTTCTTCTTCCTCTTCTTCTTCTTCTTCTTCTTCTTCTTCTTCTTCTTTATTCCTTCTTCTTCATCGTCTTCTTCTCCTTTCTTCTTTCTTCTTTTTCGTTTCCTTCTTCTTCTTCAGAGTTCGTGTCTTTTTATTCTTTGACGTGGCGTCCTCGCTCCATCCTGCCAGATCACCTCACTCTGACGTGGCATCCTCGCTCCCACTCACCATAGTCCCCCTCCTGCCAGATCACCTCCCGCCTCTGTCCTGCCATAGTCCTCCCTCCCGCCATAGTCTCCCTCCTCCCTCCCGCCATAGTCCTCCATCCTCCCTCCCACCAGATCGCCTCCCTTGCTTATCTTCTCTCCTCCCTCCTTCGACGTGCCACCCCTCCCTCC